AAAAAAAAAAAAAAAAAAAAAATCATTAATATAATAGTTTTTTTTTAATTAAAATAAAAACCGCGACAACAAAGGCCATTGTCCGTAATTACATGTATGTCAAATGTATATCACAATAAAATAACTATTTAAATAATTAGATTAGGTTAACAATTAGAGTGAATAAAAGTTAGTCACTAGCACATAAATTACACAGATATTATATTAAGAAGTCTAATAGTTAATTAGCCTTGAGGAATTTTGTCATTCTTCGTACAGAGTTAAGGTTTTGTCTCAGAGATTGGCAGAGGTGATAAAGTATCCATGTGCCTCTCTCTTTAATGTTCGTATTTTTGACAATTTTGTAAGAATATGTTTGACAGAGTTAGTGATTCCGCTAATCTCGCATATTGGTAGAGTACTGTTTTTAATAGTTTATCTAGTGCGGGATTAGACATTCTTTTAAAATTATTTTCAGACATTGCCAATTTTTTTTTTTAAATGGTGGTCTCTGATGATTAAACATAACTGATAAAATACTGATTTTTTTCACCCGTCTAAATAACCCTAACCTTTTAAATATTGGAGTTAAATTGTTATACTAAAAAATTGAATAAAAAGTCAACGAGTTTAATGACGACGGCATTTAAAATAGTATAATATAATTGTATAATTGTAAATTTTAGCATTTACAATTGTTTTAGGTAGCGACTAAATTTTATTTGACTATGGTAAGGGTACTTAAAAATTATTTCGCTTTTGTGCTAATCATGGAGAGAGGAAACCCTGGGGCCTATGAACTATACGGTTTTTTTTTTATTATTACTTTATTATGGTAGCGATATTTTCATTGGGTTGTCTTATCCCAAGGTATTAGAGCTAACATATTTATATGGCCCTGATTTTTCTAGAAAATTCTCAATAAAAAAAATTATCTATGGAGACATATTACCTAAGTATAGACTGTACAAAGCATAGATAGCAGTGGTCCAGAGGGAGGCGATCACCTCATCACCTCCCCCCCCAAAACCAACTATTACTTAGACCACCTTGAAGCTAAAAATACGAGGGATGATAAAATTATTTTTACCAAAAAAATAATTATATTTTATTGTAGAATATTTTTTAAGAGATTTTTTATTAATAGTAATCTCACAAATTGCACAATTGTTAATTGTTTAATATTTTCAAAAAAGTGACACCCTCTAAACCTTATTCTGGAAAAGTGTTCAATATTTCTTCCTTTTAATGTTAAAAGTATTCGTTTGTTAAATAAAAAAACAAAATTACTACTCTAATAAAACTGTTAAAAAAAATATTCCAATCTTGAAGGACGAATTTTTTTTATAATAATAACTATGTTATTAAGTAAAATTAACGAAAAATACTACTTCTAAGTGTGAATTGAATTGTTTATCGATTTATTTTAGACATCCCAGACGTTGCATATTTTTCTGAGTAAAATGGCCAAGGCCATTATTTTTATTTTTCTGTAAAAATATTTACACTGTCATGTTGTAATGAACAAAACATTAATTTTGAGTTCTGACAAATTTCATCTTATAGATAAAAATAATGTGTTATTTAGATACATATTTACAATTCTGTCAATAATAGGCACCTCATATTAACCTAAAAAATTTTATTACGATCTAATAAATAGAAAAAATAATTTTATCATAGTTATTTTTAGAAAATATAAATGTACATTAAAATGCATAATTAGCAATCTCCTACGAAGAATTCGAGAAATAAAACTCGACTTAGTATGAACTTTGACCGCCATCTAGTTGTTTAAACTGTGACATTTAATTTAATTTCGTTAGTTCACTATGATTTATATTAAAAATTAAAAAATATATATAATTAAAATTTATGCCTTACTTTAATGGTTTGTGTTTAATTTTAAATCAAAATTTTAATGAGACTATAAAAAAAGTAAAATGTAATTTGGATCTAGTAAAGATGAGTTGTTTAGTAATAGTCGATATTTGCCAGTGACTAAAAATCACTCTCGTAAACGTTTCGAAGGGTATTTGAAACATATTTAAAAAATTTTTAATATTACCAAGAATGATTTTTGATTTTAGAAGTTGATTATTCATAAAGGATAAGACTCTGGAACATTTTAATTTTTTTAGTCTTATATTACATTAAATAAGCTATAATTTAAAATAATTTAGTATAATGTATTTTGTTACTATAAAATGAGATAGCCTAAATCATGGACCGCAGTTATACTGTATAATAACTACTGATGTATATGCTATTGCCAGTCTGCTGCGCCTTGTCCGTTTTCTCGTCCGACTTCCATTTTGGAACTGCTTGTATATTGCAATATACAGTAGAACCTCATTAATCCGGACTAATAAGGGCTCAAGGTTGTCTTATTTAATGAAAGTCCGGATTAAACAAAATAACCAAAAAACATGTCCGTATTATAGATTTAAGAATATTATATTATACTAATTACTATATATGATATACAATATATATGTATTTCAACATGATATTAGGTCCAGCAAAAACATTACATATTAAAAAACTTACATATCAACATAATGCATATACATAATCATAATTATTATTAAGGCACACTTTCATTAACTGGTTTGAAAAAACTGCTTATCTTTTGTTGTTTTCCTTTCGCATTTATTTCTCGTATTAATAATTCACGCAGATGCCTTAAATGTTCGTAATATGCAGATATTTTTTCATCGTCGTTATCTTCAACATATTTAAGGACAATATTTAGATGGTCTTTAATTTCACCAAGTTTTGGCTTAGACTTGATACTATCGTCTACTTCATCTTGTTCGTATTCATCTGTTTCAGAGTTTTCTGCAGCGATGACGCTTTCAACAATCACTTCTTCTGTTAAAATGCGAAAGCCCATATCATCTTCATCAGCTTCTAGCCACAACTCAATGTCTTCTAGTGTTGTCAAATTTTCACCTCCTTGGTGGAAAGTGTTGAGAAAATCCTCTGTTTCCAATTCAGCCGTATCTGGTTCAACCTCTTCATTTATTAAAAGTTTCTTCCATGAGTTAATCAAAGTTGATGGTTTTATATCTTTGACAACAGACGCGAAATTAAAAATCATAGATCTTATATTGTAATCTTTGAGATTCTGTAATGTCTTTTGTCTTCTTCTATCTTCTTCTCCTGCAACTGTTTCTTCGACTTCTAAAATTTCATGTAAAAGCATCTTTTTGTATAGACGCTTGGCTGTGTAGATCACGCCTTGATCCATAGGCTGAATTAGAGATGTTGTGTTTGTTGGCAAGAACATGCACCGGATATTTTTATCATCACTAGTCAGCTGTTCAACTTGTAGATGTGCAGGGCAATTGCCTAGTAAAATTTGGGCTTTCACTTTATTGTCAGGAATTTTCAAAACTTCTGTTTGATATCTACTGATTTCTGGCACTGTTTTTTTATGAAACCAATCCATTGTTATATCTCTAGTAAACCATGCATTTTTCGAGTTGTAGTAGTGAACTGGTAACGTGTCTAAATTTTTTATTGCACGTGGTTTTTTACTTTTTCCTACAATCACAGGTTTCAACATGTGACTTCCATCAGCATTAGCGCATAGCAACGCATAAACTCGATCTTTACTAATTTTCCTACCAGGCGTATTTTTTTCGGCTTTGGATGCTTGGGTACAGTCTGGTAAAGCTCTCCAAAATAATCCGGTCTCATCATAATTGTAGAGTTACAAAGGCAGTATATTTTCAGCTTTTAAAATGTCATTTAATTTTTTCCTGAATGGCTCAACAGTTTCATCGTCGGCACTAAGACTTTCACCACATATTTTTTTATTTGTCATGTTGTGACGCCTCCTGAACCTAAACAGCCATCCTGAACTGGCTTTAAAATTATTAATGTCCAAATTTTTAGCTAATCTTTCTGCTGCAGCTTGAATTTCAACTCCACGGACAGCCAATCCAGATGAACGGAGTTGACAAAACCATTTGTAAACTGCATCATCAAGGGACCGATCAAGAGGCAACCGCATTCTTTTTACACCACTTGTTTCCTTTTCTACATTAAATTTAAGGACAAACTTTCTTATATCGTCTTTTTTCTTTCTCAAGTCCGAGACGGTTTGTTTGGCAATGCCATATTGCGCACAAATGCTTGCCACTGATACCCCCTTTTCAAGTTTTTCTATTACGCATAGTTTATCGTTAAGAGAAAGAGACGTATGTTTTCGCTTTTTACATTGACTACGTTTGCTTAAAGACATCACAGTGATACAAAAATAACGACTAAAATATAAAGCACTATAACATACGACACATGAAACACTCTAAAGCGTATCAGGCGACCGACTGGCGAATTGTATGACCAACAAATGGATAACGTGAGTTATGTATATATATTAGGGTGTCCCTTATTTATAAAATTAAAAAATTACAAAGTGCCACCCCCTAGAATTATTCGAATACATGTAAAAATAAATTAGAACGAAATTTGGAGACAATTGATCAACTCTAAGACGTGCCCCAAGGGGGTTAAAAATAACTCCCCAAGGGTGATTTTTTAGTTTTTTATGTCTATCTCAAAAACTTTAGCTTTTGCGAAAAAGTTTATTGGACCTTTTTTGTAGGTATATAATTTTTCTATAAAAAGTATATATAAAAAATTTTTCGAAAAGTTCTTATTTAGCCCTAAAAAAATAAAAACGTATATGTTCTATTCTTGCCGTTAAAACTGTTAATTTATAATTCGTTCATTATAAAAACATAAAAAAAATTCATTTAACCGTTGTTTTAAATTTAATTTTCTATACATTTTTAAATCGACATTTTTTCTATTATTTACTATTCAAAACCTACAATTTTTTTTAATTTTAATTAAAAAAAATACATCAGAGTAAAATTAATACCGTCTCAGTTTCACCATTGAAGCTAAAATAATGTTCACTTACAAATTTATATACAACTAGAAACTATATAAACTTGTAATAAAAATACATAATGAACGAATATTATTTAAATAATTAACTCTTTGATTGACAATTCAAATTGGCCACGAAACAAAAAAAAATTTCAAACAATAAATGGCCTTGGCCATCCAACGAGCATAATGGATTGGGCTAGGAATTTTAAAATAAATTCTATGTAAAGCCGTTTCACCAAAAAATATTATGACCAATTCTAAAAGTTCCTTATAGTCATCTCGAGGTTGGTATTTTTTAATTGTTCAAAACTAAATTTCAAAATATCGTCTTTTTTGTTTTTAATTTTTCTAAAATAACAGTATCTTCTATTCCACTGAAGTAATTTGTTTTATTTATATTTTGCCAAGACTTTTGGAATTTATTGAAAATAGGAACATCTGGTTTACGTCATCTGACGTATTAAATTTTACTTCAAAAACACTTTTCAATATAATTTCATAAATGTGATGTCTGCATGGTAAGTATAAAATATCACGCCCTAACATTTGCTTGGAATTTATTTTAAAATTTCTGGCCCAATCCATCATGCTCATTGGATGGCCAAGGCCATTTATTGTTTAAAAATTTTTTTGTTTCGGGGCCAATTTAAATTGTCAATCAAAGAGTTAAATATTCGTTCATTATGTATTTTTATTGCAAGTTTATATATTAAACAATGATTTAAGTGCACCAATGTTGCATTAGCGACAAATTTAGATTTAAAATTTATTAAAAATATAATTGATTATGAACCAATAGATAAAGATATTTCTAAAGTAGTTTTAAAAAAAAATTTCGGGTCACTTATGGTACTTAGTATCCCAATCAGCAGCATTGGCATTTTTTGATGATGATTTATGTGAAGATACTAAAATTATAATAGTAAACTCATTAAATAATCGGGAAGAAGATGTATGTACAAACAAACGTATAGTAGTAGGAGTAAATGAAATTTATGATTTTAAAAATAAAAGTATAGATGATTTTATTTCAACTGATTCAAAGAAGTTGTTTGAAAGATTTGTAAGACATTGAAACAGATTTTTTAAATATCAATCCTTTGTTGTGGAAAGACAACAGTCAATATATCGGAGAAAAAATAATAGTAAATATTTTAAAAGTTATAAATGATTTGGCAGAGAGGTGCGTGAAACTCATAGAAGAGTATAATAATATTTTAACAAAAGTCGAAGCACAAAAATAATACCTATTACAGATTGTTACAGAATACCGGCTTTGTTTTCCTAATTGCAATAAATACACATTATCCCAAGAATTTTAAAAAAGATAAATTATTTAAAATTTGTAGTAAATTTTTTTAGTACGTTTTTCTTTGTAAATAGTTAAATAGTCTCAGTAAACTGAGACGGTATTAATTTTACTCTGATGTATTTTTTTTAATTAAAATTAAAATTAAAAAAAATTGTAGGTTTTGAATAGTAAATAATAGAAAAAATGTCGATTTAAAAATGTATAGAAAATTAAATTTAAAACAACGGTTAAATGAATTTTTTTTATGTTTTTATAATGAACGAATTATAAATTAACAGTTTTAACGGCAAGAATAGAACATATACGTTTTTATTTTTTTAGGGCTAAATAAGAACTTTTCGAAAATTTTTTTATATATACTTTTTATAGAAAAATTGTATACCTACAAAAAAGGTCGAATAAACTTTTTCGCAAAAGCTAAAGTTTTTGAGATAGACATAAAAAACTAAAAAATCACCCTTGGGGGTTATTTTTAACCCCCTTGGGGCACGTCTTAGAGTTGACCAATCGTCTCCAAATTTCGTACAATTTATTTTTACATGTATTCGAATAATTCTAGGGGGTGGCACTAACAAATATTAAAAAAAAAAAAACCTCTCATGTAGCTAAGGGTCACCCTAATATATATATATATATATAATAATGACCAAAATATAAATTACTAATACACAGTTTATGATAACTTAAATGACGGTAGATATGTACTTATGGGAAATTCGAGAACTTGCTTTTATGTTTATTTTAGTCTATGGCATAAACTGCGTATTTTTCGTAATATTAGACAGCTGTCCGGACTAATGAGGTCCGGATTAATGAGGTTCTACTGTAATAATAATTACCAACGCATAAGCCACTGTCCGTCCGCTGCAGCGTGCTTACATTGCCGTCCAACCTTCTCGAAATTTCTATTTGGAGCTACCTGTGAGTCAAATTCTTTCCGCTGCTTTAATACCCGTCTAGTAATATTTACTGTATGTCTTCCCCACTAAGACTTTTACATCTCTGTCTACAGATTTTTATCATCGTCTTTTTACACACGTAGTATGCATGAAACGCGCTGTGTGAGCATCTGATAATTAATACACAGCCTTAACGTATTTATAGGGTTACTTAATTGAGCGTTTAGCCTCCTCTTTAATACTTATTATATATATTTCTATTTTACTTATAGTCATAAGTTATTTTAAGTAATTAAAAGTTATAAGTAATTTTAATAATATCATTAATGAAGTCTATTTTTATTTGTCATAAAACCACCAATTATTAAAAAAAAATTATTATTACAAACAATTAATCGTGTATGATTTTTACTTATTGTAAATTGTGTTCATATTTGATGTGGTTTATTAATATACCTCATTTTTTTGTATAAATTATTCCTGGACGATATTTGTTTAGACTATCATTAAATTACTGTTATTTTACTCAGATAAAAGTTCAATACGAATAAAAAAAATTCCTACTATTAAAAAATGTCATTATTTTTATTAAAGAACTATTCAATATCGAATCTAACTTACTTACGCCATACAAATAAACGATACATTCGATTAAATGTGATGACTAGATTTATAATTATTACAATAGGAATAATAATTAAATAATAAATACAAATACACAAAATTGACTTTTTACACGACAACTGTTCAATGACGGTCTATCTCGATGATCTGAACATCGTGATGGGTTGCTGTTTTTGAAAACTTTAAATATAGAACTAAAATCAAAAGAGTATCTATTATAGAAGTGTAAAATGTCGTTGAATACGATAAACTGAAGATGCTCACGATCATATAAGTAAAAATATTTTTTTTATTTTTCAGATAAGTCATTTTATTTGTTCTACTTTGCGTACAATTTTTTTATGAACGACTAATCCAACTCCCGCTTTTTAACTTTTGAATGTTTAATGAACTCGGTACGGTTATGTTTTTCATGACCCAGCAACAGTCGTCTTCCAATAGGGGACCCTTAAATGCACAGATTGAAATTCCGAACTGACGTATCCACTTGCAGTTAAATAACTAGCCTTAGTGTACGCTCAACACTCGGAATCCAGTCATAGCTTCTCGGAATTTTCAACTGCGATTTTTTTTGAAATTGTCTTTTGGGGCAGCTGATCGTAAGTACAGTAAATTTTTCGCACACGATATACTGATTGTTCGTAAACTACGACCGATACCATGTCTCCGAACTGTTGAACTTAGTTATGCACATACTATAGTCGATATCGAAATTTTAATGAAAATCATTTTAACTTTACTATATACTATAAAATAGGTATTTTGTGAAAAATTGAGATTTGCTCGTGTAGATTTGTTTTAATAAGATTATTTTCAATTTTATAGGCT